CGAGATAGTGCGTGCAACGAACTCTGTGCTTGACAGGACGGAAATGAATATCTGCGAATTAAATGAGCTCGACTCTTCAGTCCGCTCAAACGCAATCGGAGGGTTCCGGCTGACATGATTGTTCTTTCAGAAACATCCACATAAAAGCCGAGAAGTAAAATTGTCGGCAACCAGCTCCATTTCGACTGGACTACCATAAAAGTCCAAGTCTGTAAACACTTTGAACACTGGAGCTTGAAGATGGTGCTTCTGTACAATGACAATAAAGCTGTCGACGTACCTGATTGCAAGATGATGAAAATTTGGTTGAGTCAGAACTTCTTGATAGGTACTGCTCCACGATCTCTCGATAAGCGTCACGGCCAAGTTCGAAAGTGTCGGAGAAATCTGACTTCCTATTGCAGCGCCCCTGATTTGGCGCCATACAACACCAAGTGCTGTGAAAAAGTGAGTCCGCTGTACACGTGGGTCGACCCCCTGCCTTAAAACTGAAAAATTGAAAAGCTGAAAAACAGAAAAATCGCAAATCCCTTGGAAACAGGGGTTGACCCTACACACAAAGGCCTATCGCCGCTGGTATTTGTCGGCCACAACGCGCTGTGAATATCTGACAAAGCGAAGCCTTTCTGTACATATAACCGAGATAGTGCGTGCAACGAACTCTGTGCTTGACAGGACGGAAATGAATATTTACGAATTAAATGAGCTCGACTCTTCAGTCCGCTCAAACGCAATCGGAGGGTTCCGGCTGAAATGATTGTTCTTTCAGAAACATCAACATAATAGCCGAGAAGTAAAATTGTCGGCAACCAGCTCCAGTTCGACTGGACTACCATAAAAGTCCAAGTCTGTAAACACTTTGAACACTGGAGCCTGAAGATGGTGCTTCTGTACAATGACAGAACGGCTGTCGACGTACCTGATTGCAAGATGATGAAAATTTGGTTGAGTCAGAACTTCTTGATATAGGTACTGCTCCACGATCTCTCGATAAGCGTCACGGCCAAGTTTGAAAGTCTCGGAGAAATCTGACTTCCTATTCCAGCGCCCCTGATTTGGCGCCATACAACACCAAGTGCTGTGAAAAAGTGAGTCCGCTGTACACGTGCTTCGACCCCCTGCCTTAAAACTGAAAAATTGAAAACTGAAAAACCGAAAAATTCGCAAATCCCTTTTAAACAGGGGCTGACCCTACACACAAAGGCCTATCGCCGCTGGTATTTGTCGGCCACAACGCACTATATGAATATCTGACAAAGCGAAGCCTTTCTGTACATATAACCGAGATAGTGCGTGCAACGAACTCTGTGCTTGACAGGACGGAAATGAATATTTACGAATTAAATGAGCTCGACTCTTCAGTCCGCTCAAACGCAATCGGAGGGTTCCGGCTGAAATGATTGTTCTTTCAGAAACATCAACATAAAAGCCGAGAAGTAAAATTGTCGGCAACCAGCTCTAGTTCGACTGGACTACCATAAAAGTCCAAGTCTGTAAACACTTTGAACACTGGAGCCTGAAGATGGTGCTTCTGTACAATGACAAAACGGCTGTCGACGTACCTGATTGCAAGATGATGAAAATTTGGTTGAGTCAGAACTTCTTGATAGGTACTGCTCCACGATCTCTCGATAAGCGTCACGGCCAAGTTCGAAAGTGTCGGAGAAATCTGACTTCCTATTCCAGCGCCCCTGATTTGGCGCCATACAACACCAAGTGCTGTGAAAAAGTGAGTCCGCTGTACACGTGGGTCGACCCCCTGCCTTAAAACTGAAAAATTGAAAAGCTGAAAAACAGAAAAAATCGCAAATCCCTTTTAAACAGGGGTTGACCCTACACACAAAGGCCTATCGCCGCTTGTATTTGTCGGCCACAACGCACTGTGAATATCTGACAAAGCGAAGCCTTTTTGTACATATAACCGAGATAGTGCGTGCAACGAACTCTGTGCTTGACAGGACGGAAATGAATATTTACGAATTAAATGAGCTCGACTCTTCAGTCCGCTCAAACGCAATCGGAGGGTTCCGGCTGAAATGATTGTTCTTTCAGAAACATCAACATAAAAGCCGAGAAGTAAAATTGTCGGCAACCAGCTCCAGTTCGACTGGACTACCATAAAAGTCCAAGTCTGTAAACACTTGGAACACTGGAGCCTGAAGATGGTGCTTCTGTACAATGACAAAACGGCTGTCGACGTACCTGATTGCAAGATGATGAAAATTTGGTTGAGTCAGAACTTCTTGATAGGTACTGCTCCACGGTCTCTCGATAAGCGTCACGGCCAAGTTCGAAAGTGTCGGAGAAATCTGACTTCCTATTGCAGCGCCTCTGATTGGGCGCCATACAACACCAAGTGCTGTGAAAAAGTGAGTCCGCTGTACACGTGGGTCGACCTCCACTTTTGTGATTCCAAATGAGGAGAAGGAAAACAACACAACGCAAAAATGTGGAGCAGACTCAACGCCCACATCGCAACTGACTTCTGGATTGTGGGAACATGATGTATACAATACTTCAAAAACTGGCGGAGGTGGTTAAAGACTTCAAAAAGTTTCAAAGGTAACCACTCTCGCCATGATATGACTAGTCAAGCTGTCAACGCTGCAGCGATAGCTATCAACTGCTGAAGACCTCGAGGGGGGAACTTCAAACTTTGTTCCATTGGTAATCCATACTGAACAGCCGCCTCTTGCAGCTTTGCCTTAGGCACCGCTGCATCTTGAAACATTTTGGCGAATTTGGTGGC